GGCTTGACTCTCTACTACGAAGGCACTCCTCAGATCAAAAGTATGGTTTCCTGACATTGACAGAAAGGCTGAAAACATGGTGAGAAAATGTTTGGCGTACCAAGTCAACACGCCAGTAGTACAGTCAGCACCACTCAACATGTCAGAGCTGCCCGAAGCCCCGTGGTATATAGTTAGTGCAGACTTCTATGGATTTCTCCCCACTAGTGAATATCTACTAGTCATGGTGGATGAATACTCACGTTTCCCCATAGTGGAGGTAGTGAGGTCAACATCAGCCAGGACAGTCATTCCCGTTCTGGACAAGGTGTTCGCCACATTTGGAATTCCCAGAATTTTGAAAACGGACAACGGTCCTCCTTTCAGCAGTGAACAGCTGTCAAAGTTTGCAAAGCACCTAGGTTTTTGCCACCGCAAAATAACGCACCTATGGCCTCAAGCCAACAGAACAGCGGAACGTTTCATGCGCACCCTAGGGAAGGCCATTCGCATAGCAGGCTGCAAGGATGTGCCCTGGAGACAAATGCTCAACACATTTCTATCACTCTACACCACACAGCACCACGGAAGCATCACCAGCATAATTGCTGTGTCACCGCAAGATTGTCACTAAAATCCCCTCAATCATCACAAATGTTGATAGTGACATTGACCGAAAAGTCAGAGAAAAGGATCAGCTGTCAAAAGCAAAAATGAAAATGACTGCCGACGCCTGCAAGCATTCCAAACCAAGCACTCATCCTTGGAGACACTGTACTTCATCGACAGCCCAAGCGCAACAAGCTTACTACCCCATACAGCTGTGAACCACACACTGTAATGGAGATTAAAGGCTCGATGACAGAGATGGGCATTCCATCACAAGGAACTCGTCATTCTTCAAGAAAATCCACACGCAAGCTCATGATGTAGAACAGGTAGAACATGAGGTAGACGCCGAGAATGTAAGCGTTGACACATCCCCACATCCCAGATACTCCCTGAGAAGTGAAAGAAAAAGACCATCATACCTGGAAGACTATGAATGAAAGACGGTTCAAAGATATCCTTTGTTTAAGTGTTCATTATCAGTGCATCTTGATATTAAGTTAAACATGTGTTCATGGACATGTTCGAAATGTTGTCATATCTTACCATGTTGTTAAGGAACGTAAGTCCAATAGATGCTGGTCACGGCGATCCTACGTGTAGCGTTAATTGCTAAGTTAAAAAAAAAAGAGTGATGTAATGTTCGCATGAGTTTAAGTGGATGCACACAGTGTGTGATGGCATAACTGTCAGTTTACGACAGACACAAAAAGATGTTGCGGCAGGGGTTAAGAGAAGTTGCAGGTTCATGGTGGTGTATTAAACCTGTTGTAACGTGACGGAGTTACAGAAAATAAAAGAAAAGTAACATTTTGGCACTACATCATAGTCTGTTTGTTGACATATACACACACACACAGACATTACATAAGGTTCGCCACCTTTTGGTAACCATACAGTTTTAATTTTGTTGTCATTATTTGTCATTTGTGCCAGCACGTTCAGCCTCACAGCGGGCTGGAAAATAGAAAATCAATGTTTAGATTTGGTTTAACTCATCTAAAAAATGAAGAGTGACCTAAAATATGGGAATTACATATTCTACCTTGTTTTTTTTATTTATTTATTCTACTTACTGTACTGTAGTTTTTCCTTCTTGTTTGTGTAGGTGCCTGGCCTGGCCAACAGCAGCAATAAGCCATCTCTGGGGAGGACAGGAAAAAATACTATTAGCCCTTGTCTTCCTGGTTTACCTGGCCCTCCAGGAGCTCCAGGGGTCCCAGGTAAAGTTAGAGAATGTTTGATTGGTTATTGAATAATGCTCTCAGAATCTGCTATAATCACTATGTCACATGTTAAAATAGCAAAAAACAATAAGAAAAAGAGGGAAAAAAATGCGTGGCCATGTGCTTTTTTAAACAAGTGAAGTCTACTAGAAAAAAATCAGATTAAACACACACACACACACACAAAAGATGGTCAAGAAATCATAAATCCAAGTAAACATACAGATAAATGGAAAAACATTTGGCACCTCAGGTGACTTCTAGTAAACTTTAAACTTCAAATCAAGTTAAGAACCTACTGATTTCCAAAACCAAAGCTTTAAGGTTTTCAGCGATCCATCTGAGGAGCTTAGTGGAAAGATTGCTCTGCTGTTTTGTGGTGTCATATTACTGTTATTGTATGGTGCGTATTGCTTTAATCAGTTCCATGTATGGACATTCTGCGGGGCAAGTCCTCAAGCAAAAAAATGGCACTCCTCTCACCAACAATTGTTTATTTTAAAAAAGGTACCTGCCATAGCACATCTTTAGCACATAAATTGTTAAGCCTGTATAAGATCTGAGGCAATATAATAACATGTAACTACAATAAGATCAGATGACCGGACAGTTGGCTTACCAGCAGCTACACTGTCTTTATGACTTCGTTCATGTATCCTCACCAGGACACCCAGGAGAACTGGGGAAAAGAGGGGACCCAGGGGAGAGGGGCCCACCAGGCCCTCCGGGCCCACGGGGACACATGGGACCCATGGGTCCAGAACCTGACCTGAAGTATACCAAAAAAGGCCGCAGAGGGCCAGTGGTAAGAAAAAATGGTTCCTTAATTTAGGGCTTATCACAAGGCTTAGTTCCCACTGGAGTCTCTACCACAGGACGTCAAAGTAGGGTCCCAAACCCGGAGGCCACATCTTCAGTGGGTCTAATTATCCAGTGTACCAAAAAATCCTATAAATATCAGTGTGTTGTAACTGGTTTTACATGAGCACCCAAGTATGTGCAATGACAGTATACAGTCAGACATCCTAAACTGATATGTTATTCAACTCTAACGGTGTGTTCATTGGTCCGAGCCATGCATACCTTTCCAGTTAAAATTTGACAGCTCTCCCTCCACAGCTGATAACAGTCTTAAGGTGTTGTGTTGAAGATGTTGCTAAACATTCACATACCTGTGTCCTCTTATGATTCTTGCAGGGACCACCTGGGGCACCAGGCAGACATGGATTAAAGGTTATTATAACAAATCTTTACTTTCTTCATTTGTGTGGCATTCTTGCCTTTTAAATAAGTCTGTGTGTGCTTGTGTGGAGCTGCACTGTTGCCACTCTTTTGTCAGTAATACAGTACACCGACTGCTCAGACTGGATCTGCATCAACAAGCTGTTCAGAAAAGCATGTCATGTTTCTTTGAGTTTTTCTCAAAATGCACAATCAGTGGTTGTGTTATATTCTGCAAACACTGTTACCAGTGGTGGAAGAAGTACTCAGATCCCCTACTTAAGTAAAAGTAGCAATACTACAGTTTAAAAATACTCTCTTAAAAGTAAAAGTCATTCAAAATGTTAGTTAAGTAAAAGTACAAAAGTATAAGCATCAACCTAAAATACTAAAAGTAGCTACTCATTGGGTGGAATGGCATTAATACATTATGTTAATTAAAGTATGGATTACAGTTATTGATTGCATATTATTGATTACAATTATTATTGTGTTCATCACATTTAATGTTGCAGCTGAAAAAGAGGGAGCTAGTTTCAACTAGTTTATATGCTTATATTTGAATTAGTGCTGGGTAATTTATGAATTTTCTGCTGGAGATCAATGATGAGATCAAATGATAATAATCTATTTATTTATTATTTATTGTATTAATCTGATTCTGAAAAGTAGCTAGTAACTAAAGTTATCAAATAAATGTAGTGGAGTAAAAAGTATAATATTTGCTTCTTAAATTTAGTGAAGTTGAAGTATGAAGTAGCACGAAATGAAAAAACTCAAGTAAAGTACAAATACCTCAGAATTATACTTTAGTACAGTACTTGAGTAAATGTACTTAGTTACTTCACAACACTGACTGTTCATCCAATAGTACTTGCAGATACTTATTAAAGTTTATTTGCACTGTCTTTCAGAAAGTGCAGTTACAGACGTGGACAAAATCGTTGGTACCCTTCTGTTAAAAAGAAACTCACAATGGTCACTGAAATAATGTGAAACTGAAAAAAGTAATAATAAATAAAAATTGACTGAAAATTAACTAATGAAAATCAGTCATTGCTTTTGAATTGTGGTTCAACAGAAGCATTTTAAAAAACAAACTAATGAAACTGGCCTGGACAAAAATGATGGTACCCCTATGAAACATGTAGTCTGGAGAAGGCATCCTTCAAACCTAAGACAGCTAGGGCAGTTTGTTCACGAGGAGTGGGCCAAAATACCTGTCGACAGGTCCAGAAGTCTCATTGGGAGTTACAGAAATTACTTGATTGCAGTGATTGCCTCAAAAGGTTGTGCAACAAAATATTAAGTTAAGGGTACCATCATTTTTGTCCAGGCCAGTTTCATTAGTTTGTTTTTTAAAATGCTTCTGTTGAACCACAATTCAAAAGCAATGACTGATTTTCATTAGTTAATTTTCAGTCAATTTTTATTTATTATTATTTTTGTCAGTTTCACGTTATTTCAGTGACCATTGTGAGTTTCTTTTTAACGGAAGGGTACCAACGATTTTGTCCACGTCTGTATTTTGTCATTGACAGAATAGTACAGTTCTTTTCTGAAACCATCTGAACATTTGAATCATCCTGCCACACTACTCATGCTCCACATGCATGATGCTACACTCTACCTTTAGCACTGAAAGCTGTATATTTTGAAACTGATCTCACTGGGGTTATTTCTTAATGGACAGGGTGCCAGAGGAGCTCCAGGTCCCAGAGGTCCACCTGTAAGTTTTTTATGAGTTAAACACATACTGTATCTTTCTGTTTGAAATTACACATAATCTGCCCGTGAGTGTGCTCAGGCCACACCCTGTTATGTCACACATCAACCATATACATGATGTAGCTCTTGTTTAGGGTTTAGTTAATTAATGCCTTTTAACTAAATGTCCTTGATTTGCTACCATAAGGATCATATTTTTTTTCATCTTTTTGTTTTTGTTCATGTTTAAAGTGACTATCTTATATAGTTTTACAGTCTAATTTATACAATAGGTCAGTGTGTAAGGTGCATATTGTATTATTTTTCCTATGTAGAGTAGTGTTCACATTTCCCTAAAGGAAACTTTAATTATTGACAGTCAAACCAAGTGAAAAATCATCTGTCACCAGGGACCACCTGGCTCCTTTGACTTCCTTCTGCTAATGATGGCCGACATCCGCAATGACATAATTGAACTGCAGGAGAAGGTGTTTGGGGAGCAGCGAAGCATCTCTTTGGACAAGCCTCCTCATTCCAGAAGGGAGGTGGATTTTGTCGACTGGGGCTCTGGACACGAAGATCTCATGTTCAACACTTGATCTTTGATATCTTTCTCACAGTAACGGACACTCAGACTCAGCAAAACAAACATGAAACTTGGTTCATTCCTTCACTCATAAGGGATGCCAGTGGCACAAGTATCAGCATTTCTATCCTCGTATGAAGTGAGCAAGAAGCCTTGACTAAACACTCATCACTGCCACAGACATTAAAACAAAGATACAAGAATCACAACATCAGAAGTCTGAACACAGACTTTCTTAACCACATCAAAATTCGAAAAATCAACTGGACTAGGTTTTTAGGTCGAAACGTTTCACCTCTCATCCAAGAGGCTTCATCAGTCCTGCCTGACTGGCGTTGAGTTGGAGATATTTATCCCCATTGGTGGTGTTTCAGTCCTTTGATATCCAATGTCTTGCTGCCTTTTATATGCTGTAGTGAGGGGGGGGGATGTGTGTGTGGAACATAGAACAAGAAAGACGAGCTGAGCTGTGCCTCTGAGCTGAACCACTTCAAACACTGAGTGTCTGCAGAATCCAGCCTTCAGTCTGAGCTTTGCACCTGTTCTCTAAACTGACACATCTTCATTCAAGAGATTACAGTTTTTCTGAATTGTTAAAACATGTTTCTTGAAACCATCACTCAAAAACCTTAAAAATCCAAATAAAACTAAATTCACAAAATGACTCTGACTCTTCTGGCAAAATCAAACAATTGCTTCAAAACCATTTCACCAGCACTCAAAATCAAACAATGCTTTCAGATCATACACACACGAGTCAATCATATACACACTGCAGCTCAGTCATTGGACACTATATCAAAAATGGGGAACACAGCATCCAGGGCACGTAGTTACAAAAAAAATAGTTTATTGTATATAGTAAAAAACACACAAAGCAAAAGAAATCACCTAAGTATGGTGAATTTACCAAAAACCATGTTACAATCAAAAAAGAAGAAGAAGAAAACACATCAGAAAGATTATTCTGCCTCAGGATCACGTCTTTGAGCTGGGCCCAGCCAGAGGACTTCATTTATGTCACAGGCAATGTTGTCCTTTGCCAGGCAACGGGCAAAAAACCCTCTGGTGTGGTGGATCCAGCCTTGACAAGACTGCACGTCTATGTCAATTCCATTGCCTGTAAGAGATTTTGCCTGTTATACGTACTCTTCCTCTACCTTTCATGTTGTTATCCATAGTTGATGGATGTACTGTACCTGTGCCATCTGTGCACTTTGAACTGGCTTATATTTTGTACCTTGTCATCACATAATTAGAAACAAGTGTGAACAATTTTGAATCATTGTGTGTAACGATGACAACTGTGCTTTAGTTGCATTTAAGTTTTGTCCTGTGTTTAGTGTTTTGCAGCACATGTTCATCACAGTCCAAATTGTGTTTTAGTGAGGATGTGTTTAGAGTTTAGCAAAGAGTGCATGAGATTTGCAAACAGTGTCTAAGTGCCTGACCTTGTTTAAGGTTTTGCAGAAAGAGTGATTTATTTCACAAATTGGTTTAGGCTATTGAGAATTTGGTTCAGAGAATGGGGTTTATTGTTTTAGCAATTCAGAAAAACTGTAATGAGTGTGGACAATCCCAGTGTTGAAGAAAAAAAGTTGTAGACAATAAAAACATTATTTAAAGGGATACAACTGACTTACATTTATGCTAAGGGAAAGGTGCAGGAATACAGAAAATCACGTTTTATAAAATCATTTTATAACTAATATCATCAGGCAAGGTGATTGTGAATATGAGAAATGGCAGCTGCCAAGAACGGTTAAACTGTGGCTCAATAAAAGTTTGTCTAAATCTGGATCTGATATTTTTATTGTTATTTTTGCAAGCAGATCATCACATTGCTAACTGAAAAATACAGATCTGAAAGGTGAGGGTTGTGATTGTGGCAAGAGGTGTATAAGTTTGTTACTTATACACTTCCACTTACTTTAATGACATCAAACCAGAGGCTGCAATCGCAATACAAACAGCTCATCAAACATACAGTGATCAGCTAGCACATTCAATTTTCCATCGATTCATCGAATGAATTAGGTTCAAATATAGGTGTATGCTCAAGAGTCAGTCAGAACACTGTGGAAGTATATCCCCACCAAAACGTGCTGCCAATTTGTTCTGATTTCTTTACTTATTTTCATTCATCTAAATCTTTCTTTTGTTTCTTTTCATTCATTCATTTTCTAAAAGTATTGTGTGAATTAGGCTCATGGTTTTGGTTCAGTTTGGTTTTTAATGTTAACATTTCTTATTTTGGTTTACTCTGGGTGCTCTGGTTTTTCCCACAGTTATTTAAAAATAAAACCAACATTATGTTGTTATTCATTTCTTAGCATTTGGCCAGTATTGTTTTTTATAACCATGCTGTTTTTGAGGTTTTGTCAAAATCATTTTCACATCAAGGTGACTTATAAGAAATGTCCACACCGTACCTTCATCAGGACCGGTTGCTTTGTGGTCATTTTAGTGCACATTTTTTGACACTTCCACTGTTCATTCAAATAATTTCTCATATATTAATAATTACAACTAAGGAAACTGATGTGTTGTCTTCCCCCACTTGGTTGCTTATATTTATAGTTATATAATATGATATAAATACTGCATTAGCATAAGCAACTATAGTCATAGTAGACATGTAGTTCAATAGTTAACACTGTTAAAGTTGGAGTGGTTCAGTGAGTTGCACACATGTATTGCTTTCTGGTACGTTCAGTCAGGATCAGCAACGCCTTATTTGTTTGTATATATAATGGGGAAAAAACATGCTCACTGTACAGGCACTGTTGGTTTCTTACTGTACAGAACAAGTGAGCAATCTAGATCTGGTATTATAGTGGTAGTAATGAAGAGTTTGATTAGATCAGCTGAGGCCCATGATTATCATACTGTAAGTAGGTAACAGATCCCCAGAGAATGAAGGTTATAGATTGACATCCCAAGATGAGCTGGAAATGGTTGTTTGCAGAAAGTGAATAACTAATATTCTCTACTTCTTTAACAGCTACTGCCAAAGTGCCAATGACCAGGACCAGTTTGCACCAGTAAACACTGTGGGTGCTCATTAAATCTTGTATAACTAAAAGTTTAAAAGCACATTATTCTAACCAGTCTGTATTCTTACTCAACAGCATTTTAATCTGCATTCCTGCTACCTGAAGTGACGCCTCTCTGCCAGTAGAGGGCGTTAAATCACTGATAATTCCCAAAGAAATCTGCCTCACAATTGTGTCTGATCAGTAAGACTGAATTTTCATAGCACTATATTCTCATATATAGTCATCCCTATCAAATATATTCTTTCCCAAATACAAACGTTATAGAAATAGGTAAATCATCCCAGGAATTATGTAGTCATTAACCCAAGCAGTAATTCCTCGCATTTAAAAAAAATCCATTATCATACCGGTCCCTAAGACGTCAGACACATCCGCTCTGAATGACTTCAGGCCAGTGGTGCTCACATCAGTCGCCATGAAGTGCTTAGAGAAACTGGACCTCACACACGTTAACCACATGGGCCTGGACACTGTAGACCCCTCCAGTGGATGACGTGACGGCTCTGGCTTTATTCCAGACCCTGAAACACCTGGACAACCGCAGTACATATGCTAGGATGCTCTTCATGGATTACAGTTCTGCATTCAATACCATTCAGCCGGGTAGGCTGGTTGGGAAGATGACAGACCTTGGTGTCCCATCTCCCACCTGTGGATTCTGGACTTCCTTACTGAAAGACCACCGGTAGTTAGAATGGGAGGGGGGTGTCTGCTGAGCTCACAATCAGCACTCTCATCCATCCTTGGATGAGAGGTGAAACGTCTTAGACCTAAAAACCTAGTCCAGTTGATTTTTCTAAATTTTTTCATCTTACTATGACCTGGATGACTGAGAATCTGCATGGATATGTTATAATAAGATGTTTTTTTTCTTGTTAAAACAAGATGTACACTGCCATTTTGTTTTTACATGCTGTCCCAATTCTTGTGCATACTATGAAATATAATCCTGCTGGTGCCACAGGTGGGTATGAGCTCAGATAGGGCCCTTTTCTAACAGCTCAAGGTCTAGAATAATCCCTCCAGCTGTTTATACCAGGTATATGACCTCTGACATTTCCACTGTTCAAAATGACACCTAGTCACACTGTGGTTAAACAGTCAGTGTTTAATTTGGAGATTTGCACATATTAC